GATTGAGGGAAGGAAGTGGTCTGGGGGGAGTTGTAAAATAGTGTCCAGGCATCTGCTAGGATATGGAAAAGAAAGCAAAGCTGGCAATTATTCACCTAGAAAAACAGATTACCCATTACTAAAGCTTAAAAAAAAAATCTGAATTAATTTAGTGAATTGTGTTTGTAATTTACTAAAATACATTATTTAAAAATACTTAGTTTTGATCAAAACTAAATTAATATCCATACACCACTAAAAGGAAGTTAAACTCCTGAACCTACCTCCATTGGTGCAGTGTTGATTTGAACTACTAGAAAAAGAAATAAACTCTCATAACTTCTGATAGTGTCTTCATCCTGGCTTGGTAATACAGAGGTTTGATTTGAAAAATTGGTAATGTAGTGGGACAGAAGCAAGACTTTTCACATGCTGTTTTGTTTTGCTTTTTCTCCTGTGTGCATGCAAGAACAGGAAAAATCCAGAGGTTGATGTATAAAGAGATGTTGTTCATTGCCTCTAGATAAGGTATCTGGAGAAAAAACACTTACTCTGCTGAATCTAATGAGCCTTCCTGAGAGGCCAGGCTATTGCCCTTCCCATTTAGAACACAGCTTGGCTGGCCTTTTGCAGTATTTTTCCTGCAGGAACTGTGACCTGGGAATGAGTTGAATGAGTGATGAAGGAAGTGCTGCTGATTGTTTTTTTTGGGCTTAATTTGGATTGTTCACTTATCTTCCCCCCAGCATGTTCTTAATATGTGCTGGTAGCAGAATTCTTTCCTGGAGGTGACCAGGGTCTCCTTTCAAATGGAGAATGTCCCAGGTGCCTAATAATTGCTTTTGCTTCTCTATGGAGGCAAGCCACTCTGGACTAAATGGACAGCTTAGCACTGCAGGGCTATGGGCTGAGCTGCTTGTGACTACACAACACCCACAGGGTAACTGGATCCTTTCCACTCAGCAGCCAGTGATCTAGTGGTTTGGGCACTGAGAAAAAGGAAAGCTGGCTGCTGCTCTCAGGATGACTTACGTGCTTTATCCTCATCTTGCTGCCACCACCCTTGGGTAGGGCCACACCAGGCTCTCAGAAGCCAGAGGAGTGCCATGCTCCTTCCACTCCCATGGGAATGTCCAGCTCCTGCTTTCTGAGGCTGCTTTTTGGAGCCAGTCAAGAGCTCATGTTCCTAGGTGAGAAAGTATTAGTGCTCTGTTTAACTCAAAAGCTGATTTAAAAAGAAGTAAAATTAAGGCCACTTTGTAATCATCCAAACTGTCACAGCTTTATAGTGTAATGACTTCAGTTTGAAGAAGCCTACTTTACAGTTATTGATTCTCTGTAGCCAGCCAAAAATGAAGTACCAGAGAAAGGGCATGACATGACAGTAGGAGACATTGTCACAGAATGACTAGGGATGAGGGAAGTCCAGTCAACATGTGCTGTGGGGATGACTAGAAAAAACAGGTGTAGGAAGCAATATAAGCCTTTGTGTTCCAAATTGTTAATCTGTAACTAGACTTAACCTACTGGTATGAAACAATAATTGGAATTTTATGGCAGTCATTAGGGTGACCCAAAGGTTATTCTGTAGCTCCTATGTCATGCTGATGCAGTCTCTTGCCAGATAACCTTGCAAAACCACACCGATGATATCAGAGTTTAAAGAAACCCCCCCACCTTTTCACTGTTATCCCACGTGGGAGTGGGGCAGAGGAGGCACCTTCTGAAAGAGCATTGTCCTGGAGAAAAATGTAAGACTACAATGTGAGCATCAACATGTGAGGATGTCAGGCTCTGGAGACCAGACCTTTGGGACAAAATGGGAGTTCAGCCATGGATGCTGGGGCTGAACTCCTGTTTCATGCTATGGCACTTACCTTCTCCCTGGGGCACAGGACTTGGTAAGTTTTATATAGCTTTTAAGTTGATGTATTGTAACATGACACAGGTGTATGCTCAGGAGTAGGCTCTTCATCTTCACTTTGGTTTCTGATTAGGCAACAATGTTCAGCACTGACTTTGCTTACAGAATGAGCTGCCAGGCTCACAAACATGGGCTCTCACCTCCACTCTCAGGCTGCTCCCTTGACTACATGGGTTATTTAAGGATCTGTGACTATCAGGGCCTTGGTCCTGGGCAGCTGTCTTGGACAGCCAGCACTGAATGCCTGAGAAGGGTGGGAAAAGGAGGGAAGGAGCAGAGTGGTCTCTTAGTTCCCAGCTCAGGGTGGTTTTCTTTGCCATGAACTCTCAATACTTTGGGCTGCTAAATAAACCTCAGTCCCCTCTCTCACTGCACCAGCTTGCTGAGACACTGGGGAATACCTGATGGTGAGCAATGAGGGCACTGACACATGCTGCTGTTTCCTCTGCCCTGGCATGAGACATGAGCCTCTTTTCACTCTGGGCTGAGTTCAGGGAACAGCAGAAGTGAGTAATTGCAAGAGCCTGGGCCCTTAGTTGTCATGAGCTGTGTCAGATTCCTGAGAAATTCTACACTGCAGTTTAATGCAACTTTTTAAAAGAATATTCTGTGGCTATGCAGACTCAGCCTGTGCTATTTTAAGGGAAGCAACCTTGTCCCAGCCACTTGCCACATTCAACTATCTTTGTTAACTAATTAGAGGTAATTACTAAAAGTTTGTGGGCCAGTTTTCTAGGTTAGTTTGAAAGATGGCCCAGCCCCGTGGCTGAGTTCTAGTTCATTCTTTAAAGAATGTAACATTTCTGTAAATTAAGAAGTGCTGCTCTCCTATTGCTTCACCTTGTAAACTCTGTTTTCTAGCAGCTTCTCTTCTTTGCATTTCTCTTCCTCCCCTCACACTCTGATTAAATGTTCTCCTGTACCCCAAACTTACTGTCTGCAGTGCCTTTCACCTGGGATCAGGGGCTGGAAAAGAACATGCTGGGAACAAGCAGCCTTGTGCTGCTGTTCTGCAGCATTGGAGTGTGTAGAATTGCTGGGCTCTCCTGACTTCACATGCTTGCTGTCTTGGAAGCAGATCCTGCAACTTGTTCCACTCAGCCACAGGGGTCTGTACAAGAGACAGGGGAGAAGAGGAAAGGCTTCTAGTCTGCTGTGCCTAGGATTCCTTTCATGGGAGGTAGATAGTCCTTAGGATAGTTAAGTTTTCCCTCTCATGGGGATCAAAACCTCCCTGGAGCCTCTGCTCCAGCAGCTCTCCCTGCAGGAACCAGACATTTTAGCAGCACTTTCAAATCCATTCAGCCACAACTGTCTGTATTTTACCAATCATTTCTAGGAATAGAGAGACACATGTAGCAATTTTGATAAATTCTCCAACTGATGCAGTTAATGTCTTGACTGTCTTTTTCTTTAAGAGGAGCCTTATATAAAGTATGATTGTACAAATTTAAGAAAAGCCCTGAGAATGAATTGTCTTCTGCAAGCACACAGTCCAAGGAGATGGTAGATTACAAAGGAGTAATATCATATTGAAGAAACAGTGAAGTTGAACTTCAAAACAATGAACTCTGGATTTAATCTACATTTCTAGGAGGTGTTTATTTTCTTAACTGTGTCCTGGGAGCCCATATTAATAAAACCAGAATCAATATGATTCTTTCAGGTATGTGTACAATGTATATTCAAGACCAGGCAAATGAATGTTTTCAGTCTGAAATTTTGTGTTCCATACTAGCATTAAAAAAGTAAATGCATGAAAGCATTTGGGTTCCTTTCTGCTCAGAGCAAATAGCATCTTACACACTTCTAAATAGAAAATACCATTACAAGAAGCCACCAGGAGGCAGCACACTAAAACATTTGTGCTATAAAAGCACATTCACAACAATAAAAAAAACAACCCAAGCACACAACAAACCCACCCTGTGCCTCTGCCAAATCTGCAACCTGATATTTAGCAAACTTACTGTCCCCCCTCCCTTCCTTGTCTTTGTTTTATACACTGATTTCTCTACATACCTGAAATGAGCAGCAATTCCACTGCTGGCAAACAGCTTACTGCAGGCTCACTGTTAAAATGGAAGGCAAACTGATTTCTGGAATAGCATTTAGTGGAAAAAAGAGTAAACAAAGTAGATAAAAGTGATATGACAAAATACAACACCATCCAACAGACTAACCCTCTTTTGTTTCCTCTGGGGTTTACCAAAACATTCCAAACCTCTTAACTCTCTCCTATTTTTCTTTTTTTCTGGTGTGAAGGGTGGTTCTCACTTGTGGCTCAGCATAGAATAAGAGCACAAAAGCATTACAGACATATTTAAAGTAATATACTAGTTAAAAAGCTTTCATATGTGAATTACTTATGGACTTTAATGGACTTGTGTTTCAGGCTGAGCATGTGAAACACAGGAAGGCAGCTACGAAGATGTGACAACTACCTACAGCATTTTAAAATATGGACCTAAGAACACAAGGTATGTGCAAATCAATCAAAGTCCAGCATTAATTGTGTACACTTGGGTCCTTGGGAAAGGCAGTTAAGAGCTAACCAAAAGACAAACCAGGGAGCAAACACTCCTATTTTCAAGCAGCAAATCTGGCTGTTAAGAAAGTGCATCTGTGCCACTGGCTGCTTAATTCAAACAGACCTTCCACATTTTCTAATGCAAAACAAAACCAAAAACAATTGGGGAAATTAACACACGAGCACAATGTCGGCAGAAATCACAAATTTATTCATCCTTAAATATATCAATCATTTACCATTATGGCAAGAAATATGTACACTGTGTCCCATGGTAAACTGCAGTGTTCCAAAATGACAGAAGTGTGTAATTCCATTGTGGTGGAGAGAACAAATCACAATTTCCTCACATCTTAGTGTGGAAGACAAACTTGGTCTACAGTAATATGTCAACACCACATGCTATGTTAGAAGTATAAAAAAAAAACCACCCTACACATAAGTTGTTAATTTTAAATACAGTTATGCCACTTATAGCTGCTTCACCAAAAAAAGTAAAGAAATTAATGAGAGAAAAAATGAGGCCATTACTCTTTTTTTTTCACAGATCCCATTGGCAGGTTAATATGGCTCAACACATTTATTGTAGATGCTTATTTTAAATATATATTGTTTAAAATCATGTAGTAATTATCAGAGAAGCTTAAATCCATCTACCATATATCCACTAGTAACAACATCAAAATGTTTAAGAACTGCTTTTGATTAGTAATCAACACAGAAAGGTGACATGATACAAATTAGGAAGCTTTTCCCATTTTAAAAACTTCAGGCTGCTGAGTTGTAAACTTTCAGCTGCTAAGAAGGACACTGATTGAGATCTCATGCACTATACAGCACTGCAGAAAACAGTTAGCCCTGTTGGTAATAGAACAATTAACACATGGAAAAGAAATAACCCATCCCTGTATTTTCCTGTTAAAAATGGAAGGGGAGAAACCTAAATGCTTGCAAGGATGTATTTTCACAGCAACACAAAGGAGGCAAAACTAGTCCATGTGACAAGGTTTGTGTTCTGAAGTGACACTGGGAGTGTTCCCCATGCGGTGTCTGGGAACCAACCAAGCAGGTGATGCTGCCAGGGTGGTTGTCCTTGATCCTGTTGGCTGTGAGAGGATTTACAAAAACCAGGACTGGTTGAGGGGGGGAAACAAATCCGTGAACAAGTGTTAAGAGCCTTACTAGAAAACCGGTGTATCCCAAACACATTTCCAGACAAGCAGCAGCAGTGTAAAGTACATAAACTCTTCATACTAAGCTTTTAAGGCCTAATATTTCTCAAGTCTATTAACCACACAACTGGTCAATAGCTTAACCAGAACTTTCTGTTTTTTTAAAGCCTCTTTTAAAAATGTACAGTACACACCAACAGCGATAAAGAAATCGTTCTCTGTTCTTGCTTTTGAACCCTCAAAAACTGCCCCTCAATTGTCACTTAGTTCCTTACATTATTTAATTTTGCTTAATTCAATTTAAATTTTCAAATAACAAAATAAGAAAGCAAAGGTAAAAAGTCAAAAGAAAAAAAGCAGCTGCTGGCTCACCATAATATTGGTGGTTAATTCTGCAGTGCTCAAGCCAGCAAATGTTAAGTTTTTTCCAGTTTACATGGACTAATAAACTAAGAAGGCTTCAGCTGGTACAAAACCAAGATGTTATCTTTTCCACATTTATCAGTGATTTTTGCCCATCTACATGCTCTAATAAAAAGCTCTTATTCAGCAACAGAGCTGCCAGCAGAAATCCTAACCATTCCTACCAGAACCAAACCAAAATCCTGGGACTTAGGGGGGTGAAAAGGAGGAATCAAAAACCAGTTCTTAAAAAAAGAGGGTAAAATGTACTTTTTTTTCCTTTTTTCTTTTTTCTTTTTTTAATAAACAGGATGAACTTTTAAGTTGTCTGTCAAAACTTGGCATAAATGGAGAAAGTGACAAATGTATTCTGTATCTACTGCTGTCCAACTATTTTTTTTGGTCTTTTTTTGCCTTATTTTCTCTATTTGCATGGAACATCACCTTCATTGAAATGCTAACAGTGTACAGATGGAATATACAGCAACGTGGCGCATCACAAATGTGTTACATGAAGAACCTTCACAACTTCATGCACTCAGAAACATGCATGAAGAGAATGGGATGGCCAAGATGGTAATCAACTGGGTGCGTTGGGTACAGAAAATGCGAGTGCGGCACCGCTGATATTTTTTTAGCTAGGAGGAAGGAAAAAAACAACAACAAATTGCCATTACTGAAGTCATATAACCACCAGATAACAATACATGCTCAAGTGTTAGCCAAAACTTAAATTTTCAAGATATGTTAACACACTATTGTGAAGGAAACCAAGGGGGGGGGAACACAAATGCTCAGGCAAAGCATTCTTTTATTTATTTTAAACCACTTTACAGACATTTTCCATCTTTACAACATGCCAGAGAGGGCTGTTAAAATAAAAAAGGAAACTGAGGCAGGAAGCCAAAGTGCCTTAACTGATGTCTTAACTGATTTCTTAAAGGAGACAGGGCAGAATTCAGATGTGAATCTCTGAACTGAACTACTGCTTCCTTGGCAAGTACTTTACGGACATTGCCATGGCCTGAGATTCCCATATAAAAAGTGAACTTGGTAACAAGGAAGAACCAGGTGTCATTTCCATGCAAGACATGCTAGAACTGCACGCAAGGAGAAAATGAAAGAAAAGGAAGATGTAAGCAAGTAGTTAACTAACTCAGCTGATGGGTTGTATTACCGTAGCATCTAGGGGCCGGAGCGGTGATGGGGATCCCTCTGTGCTAGGCACTGTACAAACAGAACAAATGCTTCACTTCAGTCTTCCTGCTGTTTGGTATTTAACTTATGAAAGCATGAGAAGGTTTAGGGTGGGGAAGATGAGGGAATACAAGCTTGGGAGCCTCAGGTCTGAACTGAGGTTTGAGAGTCAGTTTTAGGTCTGGCTTCCCGCTTCACACGGGGCCGCTCTCTGTGTACGTGCAGACGTGGTCCTGCAGGGACACATCTACACAAGTTCCTAAGAACAGGGAGTGCAGAGAAAAACTTCCTGCCATCAGTCTCATTGCTCAGAGAGAAACAATGGATAAGACAAACCCCAAAGTTTGTCTGGTCCGACTTACAGCAGAAGGTACAAATGCAATTAATTAATAGACTAAATATACCTTTGTGCTCATATTCTTTTCAAGATAAATTATCTGCCATAAGGAAACATTTCCATTTCCCTATAGCTACCAAAGAACTGAGTTCTGTCCTTAGTGTTATGGACACTCCTTACTGCAGTTCTGAAAACAAGCTACTCTGCTTGCAGCAACTGTTTTGACATAACAAACGAAGCTGCACGCTCAGCAAAGGTTTCTATATACTCATTGGCTGGAAATTACAGATGAGGATCAATACGCAGCTGTTTTAGATGATATGCTGATGTGATGTAGATGAAAAGAAGTGCAAAAATCATGCCAGAACACAGCAGGTCTGGCATTCTTAACAGCAAAAATAAAGACATAGGGAAGTTAAATAAAGCCCTGACCACAATTGTGCGAAGTAGTTCAGAAGAACCCAAGCTAAAAGACAAACCTCAAACAAACAAAAAAAAAAAGGCAGGAAGGAGCTATTAAGGTAGCCAGGAAAACAGAAATCCTATCCAAAAAAACCCAACCAAATTAGCATTGTTTGTTTACCTAATAAAAATGGAAGGTGGGAAATGACCTAATCAGCCTTCACAGAAAACAGCTCATGTCTGCGTAGGTATCCCCAGTATAGAACAATGATGAAATAAGAATAATCCAGGATACATAGAATATAACTAAAACTTAGGCTGGGAAGTCAGGTTTCTAACCATCAGACCAATGATCTTTTAGAACAGTGATATGAGCAAGTCCAAAAAAATCCCCTCTGAATTCCAGATGAGGGCTAAGTAAGGGATTAATGTGATACTGTTGCCAGTGCTGCACAGGAGCAGCATCTAGGAGCACTGATCTAGGGCTCTGCTGCAATGTGGGAGCATCTCTCCTTAAAAAACCTCTTCCCAAAAAAGAAAGCAAGAAGAAAAACCAAACTCAAAAGATTGACACGAGTTGTACTGGAGAATTGTTTGTTCTGCTATAAACTCTTCCTGTCCAGGGTGCACTGGGACAGGTGACCCTGCTTCCCTGGTGCTTTCTGGCTCTGCACACACCCAGGTCAGATCCCTGGGCAACACACTCCTGGATGAAAACATGGTAATACCTGCGTGGCCCGGCATTGCAAGAAACTGTCACTGCTCTTTCAGTATTGTCTGTGTGAGCTCTGGCAGTGTGGCTGGAAAGTGAAAACCAGAGGACAAACTTGTTTCTGCTCCCACGGGTTTCACAGTTTTAAATAAAATATAGTTATCGCTAAGTAATCAGATTACTTTTTCCTAAATAAAAAATAAAAAAATCACCCCCAGTGAAGTTTAACACTTCATTCTATCATGTTCCTGACCTTATCAAGTGTTATTTCATGTGGGAGAATAGTGTTGCAAGAAATAAAACATGGGACATGATGAAGTTTGAAGGATGAAATCTAAGCTCTTACCATCCACACCAGGAAATTCAGCCCCTATCCTCATTATTACATCTCACAAAAACCATAATGACATCTGAGCAAGTCAAGGCTGCCTGACAGGACACAGCCTAACTCAAGCAAGGAGTGGGTGAGGTTGGGCTCTGAGGGGTACAGCAGCATTGGTGAAGGCTGCAAGCAGGAGGCAAGCAAAGGGCTTGAGCAGAAGCGCTTGAAGAAGCTGTGACTTGCTGTACACTTGGCACTGATGGAGATCTGGCTCAATGAATTCTGGTTTGTGCATGTTGAATCACAGCATGACTCCGAGGGGATAAGAGGGTGAGCAGAGATGCCCGGATGAACAAGAGGATAATAATGAGGGGAGAGATCTGGGACTTACTCACAGAGATGTCCTAACTATCAGTGACTATTTGGCAGTTAAGCAAAGAGAGTGTGGGAAAAGAGATAAGAGCATGACAGCTACTTGTAAGGCTTCACTTACAAAGTAAATACATAAACTGGCTCAAAATCAACTTGCGGTGATCGTAACTGGGCTTGATTAGAGGTGGCTGGAAATCATAACAAATATTACTCAAACCTCAGTTTTTTCAGAACAGAGTTACTTCTTTTCTGGAAACCTGGTCAGTTCTGAAAGCTCCATGAATCCTATTGCTTTTTATTTTTTCAGGTTTTCCTGAAATTCTATTTCAGGTTTTCCAATCCTATTATGTGCAACTTATAGCAAGTCTTATCTACATTAAAACATTTTTTGCTGCTCTTTAGGCAGGGACTGAGCTGGGTCAGGGGGCATCACAGCTGAAGACAACCACCAAAAAAGCCTCATTTTAGAAATATTTGCACCGATACCATATGCACATTGCTGAGCACAACACACACTGCACCAACGACCACAAGGAATGACGCTATCGAAAGGGCGGCTTCATCGTTTTTAAGGCCAAAAAGCAGGTATTAGGACTAATCTGGTCTGACCAAGACAGTTTAAAGCTCACGGTGGGAATTGTTTCTTACTTGATGGGTACCGTGGGTGACCCTGAACGGTGAAAATGAACGTTCTGCCACTTCCCGTCCCGGCGGTGCCAGACGCGCGTCTCCTCGGACTGCATGGTCTTGGGCATCCCGCTGCCGTCCATGTACTGCGTCAGGCGGATGTAGGCGATGCAGGCAGCGTCCTCGCCCACCAGGTGCACGTGGGGGTTGAGGATGATGGTGTGGATCGGCTTATTGCTTTTGGATAAAGCTGGGGAACAAGCACAGGCAGAGAGGATAAATCACAGTTTCCTTGCACGGGCTGAGACAACTCCTCTCCACCCGTTTTACCAACAAAAACCCTCACGCTTAGCAGATGGAAAGTCATAGTTATTGTTTGCTGATAGCCATGACTGACAACGAGCTCAAGTACATTGTAGAAATGAGAACAGTCACAGCAGAAAGTATGTTTTCCCTTTTCCTATAAGGAAACCAATTAAATGTTCAGTAGTACATATTATCCTGTCCATGTGCTTACATGGATTAAATGCAGTGGGGGCCACCACATTGTTTCCCTATTGAGTTTTCCCAATACTTCAGTTCCACTGCTATGTGTAATGACATTTATACTTAATGTTCTCAGTTAAAATAATTCAGCTTTTAGCTCACTCTTGTGACATGTATTATTAAGTGCTGATATCTATGAAAACTAAAAAGAAGTGACAACGAAAGGAAACATTTTTAGGAAAATGCCATTTTGGAGGTGAACAAGAATTCTGGAATACAATAATCCCATTTTATGCTCATATATTTCTCAGAAATCAGTGGATAGGCTGATCTTTTAATTTACAGTATTTGATTTCCTTTTGAGTCAAGTCTATTCTAAAACAGTTACCTACAGGACATGATCCTCCAAAACCTTATTACATCTACTCTACGGGTAAGTTTTCTTTCTTCTAGGTGACATTATTATAAGATACATATCTATAGAGAGAGTGTGTGTGTGTATATATATATATATATATATATATATATACTTTCATATGTGAGACACAGCTGATCAGATCCTAAGAAGTACACTCAGACCATGACTTTCTCTTTTCCCAAATGGAAAAAAAAATAATGTATGAGAATGACATATCTATGGTTGGTTGTGTTGTTTTTTTCTTTTACACATCTTTACTTTCTCTTTCCACAAAACTTGCCCCTGCTGTGCGACGTGCCCTGTCTGTGAATTAGATCAGCAGAAACAGAAGGAAAAACACCCCTAGGAGAACTCTGAATGAAGAAAATGATACTGCCAAATCAAAATTCTCATTTTGGAGAAACACAATCACAAGGAACAGATGAAAGTTCAGAAAGATGAAAAAGGAAATGTTTACCGTTTTCGAAGTAAAACCGGTGAAAGTCCATCCCTTCTACTAGATTACCCAAAGCTTCAGGCTCAAAAGATGTGAGGCCTGGATCACAGATTTTCCTGTGGAGAAGAGGAAACTCTGTAATAAACACATGCAGTTATCTAACACAGCTTTGGAGAGATTTCATTTTAAAAGTTTCCTTTATTCCCACTGGACACATTACTGACCTGGGCCATCACATTGAAAAAGAACAGAACTTAAATGAGAAGTAAAAAAGTTCTGGTTTCATCTAAATTAGTAAATTTGGCAGCTTACTTCAAGTGGACTAGATTTCATATAAATCAGCTTTTGACAAAAAAGACAACTGCCAAAGAAGGCCCCACAAGTCAATGGTATTGCAGGTAGGAATTATTGCTTGTGACCCTGAAAACTGCTTCTGTGCAATCCAAAGGGTATTTTGTAGGTCTCACATAATTATTTAATCAAGATTTTTTAATTATCATTTTTAACTGACAAAATTGAGGTAAGAACTTGCAATAAATTTCCACTTGACATTTGTACAACAAAGGTTTTAATGTGATCACACCAAACTACTGTTTAGTGCTGACAAGTCTTTAAGCAGGACAAGCAGTGTCACTGTTGAATTGTCAGGCTTGTGCTGCAATGGGATAACATCCACCCAGAGAAACACAGAGGACCAAAAGAAATGCCCAGAAGGGCTTTCCTCTACTTTTAATGAATTTTGTTTGGAGGTAGAAAGAGAAGAGAAGCAGTGATGGAATTGTGCCTCTGCAGTCAGACCACTTTTCCCCAGCAAATTCTCACACAGGGCTCTGTAAAAGCTGGTGGAACCTAATTTCCATGTGGGCTTTCAGGCTCTGAAGAACAAATAAGATTCTAGCTAATATCAATCTCTATATACAATTAAAAAACTTTGTGAAAAGAGGCTTCTACAGTGTTTTGTGGTTTCTGAAGCATAAGGATGACTTTACTTTTGTACACCAAGATAGGCCACTGCATATTTTGCATCAGGATTATGATCCCGTCTCAACAAAGTAGTACCCTGGGGGCATCTGAGAAGGTACCTCAATAATGCACAGATGCAAACACACACACTCATATATAAATATGCATAATTACATACACACTGTCAAATACATCAGCTCTCCTCACTCCTGCCACAATGAGAAAACTTACGTGTAAGCTTCAAAGTCCCCGTTGTTGATAGCTTCGATCAGCTGCTCAGTCACCTTGATAATCTCCTGCTTACGAGCTAGGGAGAGATACAAAAAGCATTCTCAAAACAGAAGGCAGAGCAGCAGGTGGACTGACATGACTAAGGCTTCATTCCTCAGTTGGTGCAATGACCACCCATTTCTCTTCCTTGTCTATGACCAAAGGACGTGATGCCATAGTGCTGCTTTACTCTGTTTTGGCTTCAGTGTACTCCTGTACTCAAGAGGGAATTAAACACACAGCAAGATCAGTCCACTTTCCTACCACGCTTCTAATCTGCTTTCCCTCACTGAAGGATCTGATGTTTAAAAAGCAAAACAAAACCAAACCCAATTGGCAATTCTTAACTTCCAATTAAAGGAAATCAATTACTGTTTTATAAGCAATGCTCTAATGGTTCACATACACATGGGGCCTTTCTGTTTTAAGTGTCTAATGCTGGTTTTCAGGACTATTTGTAACACTTAGTGTTCACTTTTGCTTTCTGTGATTGTGTTTATCCTCTGCTTGCGAAGTGCTTCATGCATCTCTATTACAATAAAGCTCAATTAGACAGATAATTTGGCAATATTACACCTACTAATAAACACTAAATAGTAACAGAAGAATAATACGTTAGAGACAACAAGCAGAATATGTATTCCAAATGAAGTGTTTGCATACACCTCAAGGGCAAAAATATGTGAAACAGTTTCTCCTTTATCTATCAGTCAAGAAATAAGCCCACAGTTCAGTATTTGTTCATGTTGATAGGAGTCACACTAAAACAGTGATCAGTAAACAAATTCAGGCACAGTGGGATGGTTATTACTGGTATCAGTTACTCTAGGAAGGCAAAGCTTAAGAGGCTTTATCAAGATGGAAAATCTGACTTCACTTTGAAAATGCACTTCTGCTTTTGCAGAAGTTTTGAGGAACAGAGGTTTATGTCTTTGCACTGTAGGTTCATCATTCAGTAAAGTTCAACCTTTTACTTACTAACTCCAACCAGAACACTACTGCTCTCAAATTCAGATTTTTGTGAGTTTAACGCTAAATAGGTAAGGGAGACAGATTTTACTGGTATGTTTGCAAGATTTTAACTTACATTCAACTCCTTATTAAACCTCAGAAAATCAATTTGGAAGACCAAGCATAAAACAAAAAGAAATGCAAGCAAGCAGGCTGCAGCAGCTCCTCATGCAAGCAATAGCTGTATTTCTCCTGCACACTCCTACATATGGACTAGGCTATTAACACACACACACAAATATGCCTGGAATGTTAAAACTGAAGTATTAAGAGAGCTCACATTCTTCTTCAAAAAGAAAATGTTTGGGAGCGTGGGCAGGATGCAAGTCCCCACTGCAAGACCTGGCACCATGGTCTTAAAGAACATTCTCACTTCTTGTATGCTCCACCATCTCCTTTAGTAAGTGCAAGCCCAATATATTCAGATAAAAAGCAGCAGAAAGAAACCAGCAAGGAAAGAAGTGGTGGAGAAGAAAAGCAGATATCAAGGGCTAGCAAGGCTTTTTCTTTTTTTTTTGCTTTTTTTTTAGTTCTTGACTACTAGATAGCATGATGTGTAAGAATATTCCAAGTATGAATTGCCTTATTTTTCACAAAAGAATTTCAAATGAAGAGGTGTTTTGACTGCAGACGGGCAATGGCTCCATTGTCCTAAGTTTAAACAACACAGACCAAACTGTGGCTGCTGTGTGGCATTGTCAGCATAAGCCAAGTGGTGGAATGGCTGAGTAAGAAAGAATGGTGCAGTGTTAGAAGAGTCTGACAAAAAGAAATCAAGAACACGGAGGCTTCATGCAGTGAGGAAAGCACAAGTTTTTCATGCTGCAGCTCATATACCTAAAACTGAGGTAAATTATTTGATTAAATAACCTGATAACACATTCCAGTCAGAGACTAGAAATTGCAGGCTATTAAATCAGACAGTGGGAAATGAGGGAAAAACCTCTGATGAACTGCTACATAGTCAAAGCTGCCACGATATTTTCTTGAAAAACTAATAATGGAAAGGACTGCAGATCTTAAAGCAGAGAGCTACCATGAAATGGCAAACTTGGGTGGAACAGACTGCAGAGCTCTTCCATTCTTTGCTCAGAATATGGGTGAAGTAAATCCATTAAAGGCAAGGCCATGGATCTACTCTCTAAACACAATCTTTAGCCCTCCAGGGACAGAAATTTAAGGTAATAAGATATGAGCAGTTCAAAAAATATGACCCCCTGCCTTTGCAAGTGAGCACGTATATGACTAATACAATGGCAGCTCAAGAAAAAAAATTATGAAGAACAGCTATAAAAAGACCAAATAAGAAGAACAAACCAGAACATTTTCTAACACTGCCTAAAATTATTTCTGCAGCACTACTGCAGTACATATGTGAACTTTAAATGAGTTATTAACCTCTAGACGTGTTTCACTGCCTTTTTTCCCCACTCAGCTCCAGGGTGGAGATCATCTTTCATAATTAACACCATTAACACTAATATTTAAAGGACAAAAAATAAGAAAGAACACCATTTACTCCAGAAGCATATACTACTATAAAAGCCTTAAACATAAAAGCTAGTGAAATCAAGTGAAATTTCACAGCTAGTGAAATCAAGTATCACAGAACAAAAACACAACCAATGAAACAAAAAAACCCCAACAAACAAAAAAAAGAACAAAACAACAGCAAAACCTGTTTTTCTAGAAGGGGACCATGGGGCTTTTCTTCCCTTCCTGTAATCCTGAGCAACTTTTGTACACTTAGTCTACAAGAATCACACAGAAAAGATGGATATTTTGGTATTTTAACTGCAAAAAGAAGGTGTAGAATAAAGATGAGCTGTAGACTTGTGAAAATGAAGTCTTCCAAAATACACGTAACTTGGTAACTGATTGGTCACCACATCCCCCATGACTTTTTTTCAGAACTGCCACCAGTATTTTTGTTATGAAAATAATAATTTAAACTACCTTCTGCTTCATTCAGATATTGGACTATCTTTCTACTGTTATCAATACCCGAGATGATTGATTATGTCATTACTTTACTGGACTGGTTATTAATTATCTCCACTCATCCTACAGAAGTAGGAATACACTTTTTTACTGTTCTTTTCCGTAGTTCTTTGAACACAAAATAACCCTAGGAACAACCATCGTACTAGCCAAGTATAAAACCAGTATTTCTTGTCTTTCAGAAAACAGCTTATCAAGTAAGCACAGCACAGCCAGCCACTTGCAACAGGGGCTGGGAAATCCGCAGCAAAGACAAATCACCTTCACCTTTCAAATAATTGGAATTATTCAAAAGTCAGGGAACTGCATCCCTCTTGCTACTGTGTGGTTTGAAATGGGTAGTGAGGACATCCCTGCTAAGCAGAAAAGCACCTTTCCAGAAGCAGGAGGCAGCCTGTTCACAGATTAGCACACAAACTTGAAGACAATTAAAATTATTCTGCTTCTTACTTGCTCACATACTGTTTCTCCAGGAAAAAAAAACCAAACCAAAACCAAAACCAATAAACCAAAACAAACCCTTAAAACTTTTCAACTCTGTACTCTTGCTACTCATCAGACCAGATTAATCTCACAATATTTTGGATGTGTATAAGTACAGACAAGTGAGTTTGTTCTCTCAGCTCCTCTCCCTTAAAGCCAATGGAGAGAAATAAGCACTTTCAGGGCACGATTCATCATAGCCTAAAATAGATCTTTAAGTCGTGTGACTCATCTGACCTATTTGTGTTGACTAAAGGGAGTCTAGACAACCAGCTCAAATATAGATACCTACATTGTGGAGGATGTCTACATCTGGGGAGACAAATCCTACCCATTGTGCTACTGCTTTAAAACAGTGCAGTCCTTATGAAGGTGACATTGGTCTGCTCAAATGGACTGGCACAGTAGGGGGGAACCTGGCTTCATTTCTGATAGGAATTTCATGCAGGGATTAGATGGAAAGCACACAGCCACAAATGTTATTTCTAGCCTCTGAAAATAACCCAAGTTTGAGAAGAAAGAGGACGAGACTAGAAATGTTATCCTGTGTTGAGTAATGAGCTCCAGCTATGCGGATGGACCAGATGCCATTCAGCTTCACAGCCTGGGTTGCTGCCCCAGAAGCAGAGGAATACAGCAAATGTCACAAATTCCTGTTCAAAACCGTTGTCTTCACACTAAGATTTGCTAATTCTCTGCTGGAATTTTCTCACACAATTTATTCCACAAATATCCCAAGAAAATAATTTCTGTGAATAAAAGAAGGTGCCTCATGAATAAATGAATGATTGACTCTTAGATCGACATTAAAAATGCCTAGACTGTCAGTGACAAGGCATGCTGCAGGGGACTTCCATTGCAGAAGTTTATCAGAACTTAGTGTATTTAAGATCAGAGCTTCTCTCCCCCCAACACTTAACCTTAAACTTTGGTATGACCTAAGACATCTGAGTTGTCATCTTACACATAACATCTCTTTCCTAGCACCTGCTGATTCCAAAGATTCACTCAGATTCCTCACATTATGATATGGATGGACAGTCTGCAGGATTTTCTTATTATTTTTTTTTCTATTGACTATCTTTTGCCTTTCTGAAAACCTGTAAGCCTATTACTTGCCTAATGAAAAATAAATAAATAAATTCACTGGATATGTAGGCAAACATCTGAAAAGTTATCACAGCACTTTTCCACTCCCTACTGACAAAAAAACATCAGACAAAATGAATTCATCTCCAATGCAAACCTTTAACATCATGTGATGTTAAGCAACGTGTCATATGCCCTACATACTTTCTTTTTATTTATATGAAACTGTTTATTTCTCAAGATGCTCTCCCCTTGGAGCTACCATGCAATTCTACTAATATTTATACTGTGTGGCAAACATTGGCAAATGTGTATTCTTTAATGACAAATCACCTACAGTCTCAGAACAAAGCTAAGTCATGGTCACTGCCTTTACAAGATACTGCACTATGGCTTCTCAACATGTTACATTAATCACAGGACCTGGCGGCTGTCTCAAGAAATTATGTTTAA